CGAACCGGCAACCTTTCAGTTCATAGGTCAGCACTCAATCCACTGAGCCACGCCAGCCAGGGCTAATAACACGTTTTCTTAAAAGAATAAAGTAAGATATATGTTGGAGAAATTTCGTTTCATACCAGTATTTAAATAATAAACAGCATTTGCGCTCTATAAGAGTAGATGTTTAAATATTTTACACACTTAAAATGTTTAAGCACCTTAAAAATTGGCACTTGTAAAAGCATTGAGAGAACCTGTCCCAAGAACACATAAAACTACCAAACTCTGGATTTTATAAATCACCAAACAGTATTTTCATGTTCCCAATTAAAACGCTTGGTTAATGTTAAAAACATCTTTATGACTCCTAGCCTTTTTGTCATGCTGCTAGTGCATGGAAATTTCCCAAGGTTGAAATAAACTACATGTGTCTAATCTAGTGGTGTTCAAAGTATGGTCATGAATCAACAGCACCAGTACCACCTGGCTTCCTGCAGAAATGCTCATTTGTGGATCCCACCCCACACCAAGAGTCTGAAGCTCTGAGGGTTGAGCCTAGCAATCTGAGTTCTACAAAGCCCTCAGTGGGTTCTGATGCACTCAAAAGATTAAGAACTGCTGGTTCACTCTCAAGATTCAAAGCAACTGCTTTATAAGCTATCCCTAAAAATATATGACCCATGGCAGCACCATTGGGACAGTCCTCACTATCAAATAAGAGTGTACAAATGAATTCCACTGAATAAAGAAGGTGGGCTTCTACCTAAATGACTGCGAACCTCGAACCACAAGCTGTGTGCTGCGTGTACTCATATCTACAAACATGACCAACAGCATTCATCAGCAGAGAGGTTTGCAGACTCGATCACTTCTCATTCCAGCGCTCACATCTGTGGCTCCATATACTTCCATAGTTTAGTTCTTTGGTAAGCCTTCCCAATCCCTCTGCTACTTTTTTTTCTTTCTTTTCTTTTCTTTTCTTTTTTTTTTTGCGCTAACATATGCAGCGTGAAATATGATTCATTCCTTCATGAGTGATCAATATACCCACACATGATAAATACCATTATTGATCTTGCAGTGTTATATGTTGGTCTCTGGGACCATGGCATATTGATAGTAGTTAACCAGTAATTCATTTTAAGGTGTGTGAAGGCTTTTTTCCCCTCTCTTCTCTAGTGTCAAGATTCCCAGAGTTGTTGCACTTTTGAGTCCTTTATGTTCACGCCTGGAGCCAAAGTACTCTTTCAATGACAACACCAAACCCCATAGTTTCCAAAATGAAAGATCACATATAAAAACAATTTTCAATTTTCAACATAAGACGACTTCTGGTTGGCAATGATCTCATATAAATGATTAATTTATGTGCGCCAGATTTTGTCTTTGTAAGTCATACCTTGCATGGTCCCTCTCTCTGAAAATAAATAAAATTTTTAAAAAAGAAAAAAGAAAATTTGTTATTAAAGCTCAGTGTGATTTGAAAGAGGGAATAAAATATGGTTAAGTGGAAAAGTGGTGCCATTGTTAACTAATTACAATCAGCTGTAGCCAAACAGATTCTCATTTTGATTTGATGTAATATTTTATTTGAGGTTTACTATACAGGTTATCGAAGCCATTCTCTTGTTATATTGAGAGTTACCACTGACATTTTGTTGCTGGATAAACTAAGGCCTAATAAGAAATCCGGAAATTCGGGAACATGTGTCTTGATCCTAGAATACTGCTGCTCTTCAGTTCTATTTAATTATTTTATCTGCTACAGTATTTTGCTTTCTTTATTAAGAATCTTGCTTTTGAAGGGCAGGCCCTAAGAGATACCCAGTTGTTTCCACTGCAGGACCAGTGATAAACATCTGAAATGCCTTCTTAAATGCCTATGAGATTGTATATGGATGTCCCACCAGTATTTATGACTGAGTGATAAGAATATGTCATCTGTTCCTTTTCTGATTTAAATGTTACTATAATTGGTGAGGTTTGTATTGCTCTTATGATCGGGTAATTGATAAAGACATTGAAAACAAAAAGATAGTGAAAACTACCTATTATGTCACTAAATTGGTCTTTAAAAGAAGAAAAAGGGCCAGTGGGGAGGTTGAGGAGGATATGTACCTTCCCCAGACACAGTGTAAAATAATGGAACTGGAATTTTTCATCTCATTAGTTGGGAAAAGGAGAAGAAAGGAAAGAAATGAAATTAAAAAAATGGCTTGATAAGAGCCTAAGGTGGATGGATCTGGTGTTCTTTCAGAGAGAAAACTTAAGTTCTGACTTTAAAATGAAGCGGTAAAAGTACGTTTTGTTGTCCAGAGCTTGTACTTTTAGTCATGCCCTCCCTTGTATGTTTTCTCCTTCTCCTTCCGAACATTCAGCTGGTGGACATTTTTCTAGCACCTGCTCTGGGTCATGCACTGATTGTCCTGAGAATTTCTCTCCATTAGCTTCTCTCTGCCTACGTGTGCCCAACCCTTCTCTATATTTTAAAAATGAAGTAACATCTTACATTTACTTTGACATCAGGTTACTTGAAAAAGCATTATTTATTGATCCCTGTTGAAAATAATGTACCATTGCGTGGCCGGCAGTGTGCGAGGCACAGGGCAAGGGTGAGCCAGCAGGCATGGTGCCTGCTTGCTGGATCTCACATCTGGTAAGACAGGACCTTCGCTTCTGTTTCCTCATTGCTTACTTGTTTCTTGCCCTCTTGTTCCTTCTATGCTAAAAACACAGGTCCTAAAAACCTAACCCTCTCTTGGCCTTTTCCAGAACGTTTTGCTTGATCTCTTAACAGCAGTTGACAGTACAGCCTGTTTCCTCCGCAGCCCGTGGCAACTTTGGCTTCTGTGCCATTGCTTTTATCCTCAGTTCTCCTCGACTGCAGTCATCTTGTCTCTCCTCTCTTCTCAGGACATGCTCTTCTGTAACAGCCCCATGCTGCTCTCCCCAGAGGCAGCCAGCACCTCCCAGTGGTGACTCCTGAATCCCAGCTTCCAGCCTCAGCCTCTCCCATGAAGACAAGCATCAAGACCCTCACCCTCATTCATCTCTCCCACTTGCACGGCCCTCCCTCTCCTCTGCCACATCCAGGCTTCCGGCTCTCCCAGACGTCTGCATTGCGTTTCTTTGCCTTCTCCTGCATCTTAACTTGTTACATCCCATCTGTCCTCCAGTTCTGTTGAGTTTCCTCTCCTCCATGTTCCTAGCACATGTCCCCTCTGTTATGTTTGAGTCTTCTGGGTCTCTCCTGACTACATCAGTGCTTCCTTGGTGGCTGTCCCTGCCTCTGGTCTCTCTTCCCTCAATTGTCTAACTCACTGCCATCACACAGCTCTTGTCCTCTGCACTCCTTGCTCAGAAATCCTCAGTGGTTCCTGCCACACCCTGACGAGAGGCTGGAGGGCTGGACTGAGGCTTTCCCTCACTTTACCCCAGTCCACCTGTGACACTGGACCTTCTTTTCCTTTTTGCACCCAAATTCACCTTCCACTCTTCTTCTTTCTTTTCTTTGTTCTTTGGCTATTTTCCTCATTACTCATTTTCTTTTTTTTTTTAACCTATTTCCTGCTCTTTTAAGGTGCAACTCAGGTGCAGCTTTTTTCCCCCATTTTTAATTTTATTATTTTTATTAATTTTTATTTTTCAATTACAATTTATGTTTACTATTCTGTATTAGTTTCAGATGTACAACGAAGTGATTAGAAAATCATGTACTTTACAGAGTAGTTCTCTTGCTGCTCCAAGTACACCTGGCCCCATATATATTTATCTCAATTATTGACTATATTCCCTATGCTGTAATTACATCTCTGTGGTCATTCTGTAACTAACAATTTGTACTGCTTAATCCCCTCACCTTTTTCTCCCAGCCCCCCAACCTCTCTCCCCTCTGACAACTGTATCTATGTGTCTCTTTCTACTTTGTTAGTTTATTTTGTTCATTTTATTCCACATATAGGTGGAATCATGTGGTATTTGTCTTTCTCTGTTGGACTTAACTTCACTTAGCATAATACCCTTAAGATGCAGTTTTTCCTATGAATGTCTCTGTAATTTCTTTTAAGGCTGCAAGTCATCTTTCCAACCTTTGATTTTTTGTAAAAGTTTATGGGTGTCCCTGTATTGATAATCCTGTTGTTATTTGTAATCCCATCATATTTTTCCTCCTATACTGTAGACCTCCCATTGGGCAGGGGCAGCCTGACACCTTGCAACCATTTCAGGCATCTAGACCAACTTTTTGAACATGGTTTTATACCTGTCCATTGGAAGGATGACTCAGGGTCCCATTTGATTGTTTATTACAATTGATACAGCTTTAAAATGTAAACCTGGGGCTGGCAATCTATATAGCCCATGGGCCACTTTCTTCCTGTTGTCTGTTTGTGAATAAAGTTTTATTTCAACACAATAATGAACAACTTGTATATTCTGCACCTGAGTGGACCACAAAGCTTAAAATAATTACTAACTGACAGGAGAAGTTTGTCTACTTCGGGTCTAAGTTACTGTCTAGACTTCAGAAGGACAGGGTGTGAGCTGTGGAAGAAAGTAAAGGAAAGAATGTTTGCTTAAACTCCTCTTGCTTTGACTTTCTGACATATCTGTGTGGCCACCATAGTTAGGATGCTCGGATTTTCTTTTATTACCTTATTTAAAATGAATTATAAATAATTTTGTTGTAAGAATGTTGCAGACAGCCAAGTTAACTAGATGCTATCTCTGATTTCTTGACATTAGGATAGAAGTTACTAGTCAGGCTTTATATAATTCAAATGACCCTTAAAACGTGTTTGGTATTCTTAGCAAAAGTAATCTGCAAGACTGTTATCTGCGCCTCCAGAATCATGCCAGCCTTAGAAACCCTCCTTTATTGTGGCTGCCGTGAAGTAGCCTGTTCAGGTGCCTTGTTCTGTAGCACTAAAGATCTTCAGGAAGATGGTCATGTGTTGCAAAGTTTTGTGAACCCCCAGGTTAATGCCATATTGTTGGTTTTTTTTTCTTTCCAGATGGACGTATGGTCATCCAGGATATTCCTGCTGTCACCAGCAGAGGGCACGTGGAGAACACACCTGACTTGGTTTCAGACTCCACCTACTACAGCAGCTTTTATCAGCCGTCTCTGTTTCCTTACTACAACAATCTGTACAACTACCCGCAGTACTCCATGGCCTTGACTGCTGATTCCTCTTCCGGGGATGTGGGAAACCCCCTCGGGGGATCCCCGGTGAAGAACAGCCTTCGGAGCCTCCCAGCACCTTATGTACCCGGTCAGGCAGGAAACCAGTGGCAGGTAAGATGTTACCCAGAGAGTAAACTGGATACATGAAAACCACACACACACATACACACAACTCGGCTCATATGTATGTGCACACTATATGAAATGTGTAAAGAATTTTTCACTCTACACAAAAGGTCATTTAACCCCAGAAGTTGTCTGCAAGGAATGGTGAAGAAATATTCATATATTTGTTTTCTTTTTCAAATTTTACTTTACTTATTTTTCACTGTCATTTTGCATAAATACCCAGTTGGCCACGGTCAGATTCACTAGTGGCTTCTATATGCAGCCCCGCCTCTTCCTGCCCTGCTCCCATTTTCTTTGAGCAGCATGGAAAATACTGGGTGCAGTCTTCCGGGTGGCAGTAATTTTCCTGATAAATTTGCACCCTGGGAGGGAGAAGTGTTATATTATAGTCTGTACGTTTGCATGGAAGAAAGATAAGAAAAGGAATTAGTTTGCTGTTGTGCTGGGCCAACGTCATTGTGTTATTAGCTGGGAATGGAGGTCAGCCTTTCATACGCTGAAGTATTTAAAATAGTGTGCAATCAAGGGCTTGTGATATTTGGGGTAAAACAAAGCATTTTGCATTATCAGAAAAGGCCTATTTATCTACAATTGCTGGGCCCCCACGGTTTTGGCCATTTCCATCATGCCAGTATATCAGAATCAGTTTCAAGGCCCCGAAAGCATTTACGGTTGGGATCACCACATTGTGGGGATGTGTATACACTTGAGCACTTGGACTCAACACCTCCAAGTCCTGCTCCAGCTGTAAAGTTTATGATTGTGTGATAACTGTTTTCATTTTGGATGCATTTACTGTGCTCAAGCTTTCCCAGCAATGCAACTTAATGTATTTGGGAGTTTAGGGCAAATCTTTGGGGTTTTCTTATGTCAATTTTTTAAAAATGTGAGTTGATTTTTTTTTTCAGCAGTTCTATTCCATTTTTCTTTTTTTAGGTGTTGGGGAATTCTTAATATTCAAGTCAGCCCACTTTTTGATTCTCTCAGTATCCTTAGAGATCTGACTTCTTTGGCATATTACTATGTCAGCTTTACTCCCTTGGGCTACATGTTTTCATATGTTTTATTTTTAGAATCATTTTTTAAAAGATTTTATTTATTTATTTTTAGAGAAAGGGGGAGGGAAGGAAAAAGAGAGGGAGAGAAACATCAATGTGTGGTTGCCTCTCTCACACAGTTTACTGGGGACCTGGCCCACAACCCAGGCATGTGCCCCGACTGGGAATCGAACTGGTGTACCTTTGGTTCGCAGGCTGGCATTCAATCCACTGAGCTACCCCAACCAGGGAGAGAATTATATTTTTTAAACAGGGAACTGAAAACATCGGTGTTAGAATTGAGGGGTAATATGAATGTAAAGGAAAAGCAGCAATTTATGGATCTTCAGGCTATACCCCTACAGGCCTTTCAAAGTGCCAATTGGATTTTCTCATTTGGGGCAGGTTCTGCGTTGATTTCTACTAAAGACTGTCCACTCTGAAAGGAGAAAGAAGTATCTTGTTATAAAAAACAAACAAACAAAACAGCTTACCCTACGGATGCTGTGGGAGAGTGTCCTGGTTTTCTGGCTGCTTCCAGGATTTCAGGATAAGTGGGAAGGGTCTCTTAACCTGCCAGCTTATGAGAAAAAGGATAAGAAAGAAAAATCTTAAGTGTTTTCTTAAAGGCGGTTCATGATCAGTTTTACAGCAGAATCAGAAATCTCCTAAATTAATTTACCCTTCTACTTCGTCAAAATCTTTCAGGTGGCAGATGGCACTCATGTTTGTTCTTACTTTACCTGGAAAGCTTGGGAAGGGTGTGGCAGAGGTCTTGGATTTCCTTTGTGGTCCCTAAGATCCCATCTTAGAGACAGCTAGGAAAAGACCTGCTCTCTTAAATGGCATTGTTGCCGGGTCTTGGAGGACTGCCCAGCCACTATGTACAAGGAGCGATCCCCCGGCGGGGCAAGCTCTTTTACCCCTGCTAGCAAAAGTGGGAGGAAAAGTCTTGCCCAAATCTTCTCAGTCCTGTGGGGGGCATACAGCGTTGATGCAATGTATGTCCTCTCCAGAACCAGCACTTGCTAGGCTGGAGAGAGGTGTCACTGCTCTGAGGCCCAGAAGAGGCATCATTTAACATGGTTTTGTTTTCCCTGAAGGGCTGGGCTTAAGCCTTTGTCTTTCCTAGCTAGTCACCATTGGTAATATATTCTCATAGAACAAATTACTTTGCAGAAATAGATCCTTTTCTGCTACTGTGATTGGTGCCCATTCCTCTTAATAATAACACCAGAAGTGATGGTGATCATTTGTTTAGCAGTGACTCTGCCCCAACCCCTGGGAGGCAGATGGCATTGTCTCCTTTTTACAGGTGAGGACATTGAGACTCGGGTCTGATGGCTACATAAGGCAGTGTAATCACTGAAGTGAAATGGTTACTTTATGTGGCGGTTTCTCTGTACATGAAGATGTGCCATGCTAATATCAACAGTAGTGAATTTATTTCTTTAATTGGAGCTTCTCTTTTTTTAGTCTATTTAATTTTCAACCTCTTGTTCATATGTATTTTGGTTGGCTTCCTTCAATCCCCTCTGTAACAAGAGAGGGTATACATAATGCACATTTTAGTTATTAAAGGACCACGTGACATGTGAATATGGACCAGGTGTGAACATATGTGGAATAATGTTAGGGAAGAATTTGATCCACGTAGGAAATACAAAACTGAAAGCATATACAAAGATTATGATGGTACAAAATATGTTTATTAAGGTGTGTTACAAAGAAGTATTAATTAAATAGTGAACACCTAGAGGTAATACTGACAACCAGTAAGTGTTAAGGGGTAGAACTGGATGGCTCACATTATAACCTGAGTCATTAGGGCAGAGGTGTAGGGAAAAGCGACCTGGAACGAGGTCTCTCTCTGCTCTTGCTATTTCTGCTGTTTGAGGAAGGTGATGTGGTTCTGCTCTTTGGGCAATGCTTTGCTCCCTTGTGGTAGAAACTTGTAGGAGAGGGCTAGGTGAAGGCTCCCCCTTGGTGGTTGCCATGCCTTTCTGTCTGTTTTGTAGAATGTGTCTCACCTAGACAGCACCTATACTGGTCTCTCCAGGCTAGATCTTCCCTTGGTCTGATCCTTCAGCTTGACTGAAGGGCCTGAATCTTAGCCAGCATCTCCTCCATCTACTTCCTTTTCACTCTGTTGCTAAGACTCGACTTCCCTCCTAACTCTTCACCCTTGCTGCTTTGTGTATCAGTGTGTGTTGAGGGAGCAGCATAAATGTTTGTCAACAAAGAGCTCCTCTTTGATTCCTAGGGAAAAAATCAACTCTAGTGCAGATCATCAGAATTTTTTAAAACTAGACTTCTTAGAGATTAGTTGAGAGGATATTGAATTATTTGCAAAGAGAAACTATAGAGTTCAGACTTCCTGTAATAAGCCTCCCTATAAAATCAAGCAAGCTGCAAATAATTATTAAGTACCTACTAAGTGAAAAACCTATAAAAAAGAGGATCAGCATCCTAGAATCCCAAGGCTCTCTTTTGTTAATGCTTGCATACTGAAAGCTGCTTCAATGACTTTAGGTTGGTCTCCAGCCTGTGGAGATTTGTGGCCCAATCATAGATTCCTGTCCTGTTGTGAAACAGGAATAACATTTGTGACACTGGTACAAACTCAGAATGAATGGCTGGTTCCACTGACCAGCAGCTCAATTTCACTTCTGCATTTAATTGCCTGCAAAAGCTGTTTATTGCCTTGTGCACTCCTCCACGGCAACATTATCTCTTAAATAAACATGTTGTACCAGGTTGACAAGGGAGAGGTGCATATCAAGTGAGCAGAAATAAATATGAGAGGACTCAGAGCTGTACCTGGAAAGTGCTTTCAGTCCCTGTGGCAGGCACCTTCTAGATTGCTTTTCAGAAGCTTATACCACTGGAATGTAGAGTCACATTCAGACCACAGTTAGCCACATAGGTGATTTCCTTCCTCTGGTGGTTATTTTGGGCTCAGTCTGAAATATCTCATGATATGCTTGTCCATTTATGATCAGGCACCTCACTGGAATGCATTCATGTATTCAGTAAACATGTGTGGAGGTCCTACTATGTGCTAGGGAACCTACCATCAAACCAAACAGACAAAAATGCAAAAAGCAGGTCTTGGTGGGAAGGCTGCTGTTATCACTTGGAAAATGGGAAGGGAAGTTGGGGACCATGTTTGTAGCCTGTGTTTGGAACCGAGATAGAGGCAGGAAGGAAATCGGATTCTTGTACCTGCGCCTTGGCGCACAGAGAGATGCCCTCTGGGAGCACCCCCGGGGTGGCCTGCCAGCCCCTGATGTTCTTCATCCCGTAACCGGCCGCCTGGCAGGGGCCCTTGTTTCCACACTGCTTCCTCTTTTGTCAGCATGGCTCAGCATCCGAGCGACCTGTTAGCTAAATGAATGTTGAGGGGAAGTGACTTCTTGAGCATGTGCTTTGTGGAGGTGGCCACAGCCCCTCCACGTCTGTGCCCTGGTAGCTGCACAGGAGGTTCCAGGAGTGAGGGGGAGCAGGACATGAATCTAAAGGTTAAACTTGACTCTGATCCCCAGGGTGACAATTGTAATTAACAGTCATTATTTGGAAATATTCCCAAATTTTTTAAACGACACTTCAGGAAGAAGGTAGAATGCAAAATCCACTTCGATTTTTAAGGTGACTTTACATAAATTCTTCTGCTTGTTTCAGGCCACCAAGCTGTACCATCAGGCTGCCAAGGTAACATGCTCCTGGTCACCCCAAACTCCTGGGTAGCTCTGGGCTGAGGACGTTTAAGTGGCTTGCCTGAGGAACAGAGCTGTTCATGGGGAGCCAGGTCCTAAACCTGGGCCTTTCTCCCCATGGGAAAGCGTTCTGTCTACAAATAAAGCTGTGATCCACAAGGCTGCCCACCCAGTTCCATTGCCCATGTCTCTGACCAGTTAAACTAGCCTTGGCTTCCCTTTTTACTGG